CCAGCACGCGAATCAACTCAACACCAATACAGCACAACACAAAACAGCTGCTAACAAGTGGTATTACTACAGACCAGACCTATAAGGAATAAAATATACAGATGATCGCATCCACATAAAAAAATCCTCAAGCCTATTAGTTACCACTCTTCATAAATACTATGACTTATCTTATTAAAAAAAGAACAGCAACAAAAAAAAAAAAACCTAAACTCTCCTGATAATCAGATTCTATGATTGGTCTGGTACCAGCTTATCTGGTGTACCATATCATCTAATTTAGTCTTGTGTTCCAGGTCACCAACTATTTTAGCAGTTTCCCCTAAGCGCAAAGCTCGGTCTTTCAACTGTAATTGTCAACCTTCTCCCACCTTCCCTCTGATTCCCTTTAAACTCAGCTCAAGCATTCCACCTCTCACCAAAGTCCTTCCATCAAAACTAGATAAAGTTACCACTTCATCTACCCGATTAGAAATGGCTACCATGACAACACACACACACACACACAACACACACACACACACACACACAATACAAAGCATTGTGAGGAGTGATGGAATTGGAACTCTTTGCACTGCTGATAAGAATGTAAGTGGTGTTAGCATCCACTTATGGGGTTCCCTCAAAAATTAAAAATATAATAGAATATTCCCGTAAATACTGTACAATTAACTATAATGCCAAATTAAAAGTGACTTTTTAAAATCAGTAAAACATCCGAGCGCAGCAATTTCACTTTATTAGCTGACAATTGAGAATTGAAAGCAGGCATGCAGATACGATACTCTCTGCACACCATGAAAACTAGCACATCATTACAACAGCAAATGGGGAAGCAACACGGGTGCTCACTCAACACTAAACGATACCACAAATGTGCCATGTACTAGCAGTGGAATCATTCAACCTAAAAAGGGGTATACTGTTATAGCTACAACATGGTGAACCTTAGACATTATGCACTACTAAGTAGCCATTACAAAAAACAATACTCATTACTCCATTTATCGGGATTGTAGAGAGTGAAGCATCACATTGCTTTACAGCTTCCTATTTACAAGTCCATCTCCTATACTAGACTAGGAGAAACTTGAAAGAGAGATCTACACCTAGAACAAAGAGCATCTGTGTAATTTGCCTAGTGACTGCATAAGTAAGTGTCCCTGGGTTTGCTTTTCCACTTTATATGGTAGAAAGAGAGCATCAAAGACTGCAGAACCTGATGTTTTCTCTTACCTATATCTGTTTGGAGGGGGGAAAGGGTTTTCCAAATTTAGTATGAAGAAGAAATAAATGGCTCCCTGTTGACTTTATATACCTCCCACACACACAACTTCCTTCTCCCCTTCCTGCTGGTCCTTTCCCTGAGACACCCACTGGCATCAAGCTGCCCTACAGTGGCTCGTCATCTGCATGATTATATCTTCTCTTACAATCTCTCACCTCCTCGAGGTCTCCCATTTTCTTCCCCTATCCAAATTATTTACATATATATATTCTTTTTAAAACAAAAATAAAATTAAACTACTAAGCATTAAGATATTAATTCACTCACTTGACCGCCTTGCATACAACAAAGGAATTTGTTGAGAACTCAAAAATGCCCTTGATTTTTGCATCATCTGGAACTTTCTCTGCTAGTAATTGATCATTTGTGATGTAGAGGTAAGAGTCATGAGAAAATAAGAGAAGTTGTTCATTCGCTCTGGCCCTATGCTTAACTATAGAAAGCATTAAGGAAAGCCTTCACATGAAGTACCTCTCATTCATACTAATCAATATCTCATTTGTGTAATTAACTTTTTCACAATGTCCTCACAGTGAATTTCCAAGACACAAAGCCGATCCCATCCCCAACTGAAATCTCCTCAAACAGCTCTTCTTGCCTAGAGGACTCCATATAATAGAGGACTCCTTCACTTGTCAACTAAATTTCTCCATGCCCTATCCTCCCCTCTGGCCTTACCTCTCTCTGATCCAGCAACAGAGAGCTCCCTACTTTCCTCTGAGCCCAGGCTGTTTCCTTAGTACAGAATGCCCATGTTTCTTTCACTCCTGTTCATCTGATTCCCATTCCCATGCATATCCCTAATCCCGGATTTCTGAATATTTGAACTCTAGGCATTTTAGATGGAAAAATTCTTTGTTGTAAGGAGCTGCCATGGGCAGTATACAATGTTTATAGCATGCCTGGCCTTTATTCACTAGCTGCCAAAAGCATCTATTTTCCTTCAATCATGACAACTGAAATGTCTGCAGATAGTAACAAATGTCTCTTGGGGGCCAAAATTGCCCCCTGTTATGAACCACCGCTCTAACTCCAAACAGAAAACTTGCTTCTAAGAGAATCATAGGGTAAATTCCCCACTGAATATTCAGTGCAGACCATTCTCTACTTAAACCGCCTTGTATTATAACACAACTACACCACGGTAGCCTATGTTTCTTTTTCACTCCCGGTCACCAGCCTGGCCAGGTCTTCTCATTCATATTTGAACTTATGAGTGAGTACCTGGCCTACTGCCTAACTTATGCACTCAATAAATGCAGGCTGAACAAAATGTTGAATAAATACCAGGAACATATGAAGAAAGATACAATGCTAGGATCCCAAATTTCTTACGTGTATCATGACCTACACATTGCTAGACAAATAGTCCAGCCAGAAAGTAATACACTTCAACATTACAAAGAGTAACGAGACATTTTAAGCCATCTAGGAGTCTGAGTTTAAACTATAATAGAAAATTAATGTGAGCACCACCACTTTCAAAACACAACTGTTGCAATAATACCTATCCCTTCTTTCAAGGATGTTCATAAACATTGAGCTGAGCTGGGCTGTTATGCACTTCTTGGCAGTTCTGTAGTAGGACTGTTCAGTGATGGGAGATGTTAATTAATTACACCATAAAATAGAATTACAATTAATTGTTAATTTAGGTTTTAAAGTGACAAACTTTAAAGGCTAAAAATAGTCTTTGATCTTTAAAAGGCTTCTTAATGAGGGCAATATACTTTAAGTACATCATTAGTTTAAATGTTCAAATTGGGTCTAGAGACTGCTAGAGTTAAGCAAATATCTATTCCAATATGTTAAATGTTTATGGCTCGGTACAGGGACAATTAATTGCTAATCAATGGGCCAAATCCTAGGTGAGGTCAGGTTCTGAAATAGGAGGACGACAATAGTAAATTGGATTTAGAGCACTTTGATGTGATCTGTAAAAATCACAGACAAGCGGAGACTAAAAGAATAGCAAGAAGGCCAAACCAGCAGAAACGCCCAGATAATTAAGATATTACTCATTTGGTTAATAGCGGTTTTCAAGGGTACCCTTTGTTTAGATTAATGAGCCATAATTTCTAGAATTATACTTACATGTCTGTAGTTCAGTTACTTAAACATATAATTCAGGATATAAAATAGTAAAACTCAGCATAGCTTAAAGGGCGATAACACTTAGTTGGTAGCTAAGATTAGCAATATTCATAATGCAATTTTTAAATATGGTCTTGATCCATCATATAGTACTTTCTTTTCTCAAAATTCGAAAGTAAAACCAATTTATTACTTTAGTAAGCATCTTTTTAACAATTACGTGAATCTTTCACTCTCATTGCAGGTAGAGGAGGCACGTTGTGCTTATCTTGTGAATGTCGTCTGTCTCAGTGTCAACAGCTTTCACTAACCTTTAGTTCGGGTGAGAGATTCCAGAGACAGAGCTGACCCTCTTGACTTCCAGTCACAATCATTTGCTGGTCATCGGTGATCATGATGGCCGTGATGCTGTGGGGAGGGGCCCTCTTTCCCCAGAGTGCCACCGCCTGCAGGGAAGGCCTCATGCTGGGTGAATCCTGGACGCACAGAGAAAGAAAGAAGTATACACAGTCACCACTCCAAAATTTGGGGAAACTGATAATATTACAAAATGGCTTTATAATGATGCAAACTCGAATGCTCTCCCAGGGCTATGGAAAAAGGTGCTTCCCCATCAATTAGAGGAGACTGAGCAGTCTTCAGATATCAAAATTACTGTGCCCCCTGCTAATTCATCAAAAAAGAATGACTTTTCTTCCAATTTCTGATTATTGATGCTGATAAGGAGAAGGATAGTCTACCTACTCCACACCCACTCTTCCTATGACTTGATCCCAACCTGTTCCAAAGCCCTACTAGGCCTCTCAAGAATAGTTCTAGCTACATGGTATAATTTGAAGACAGCTGTACAGACTTTCTCCAAAATATTACCTTCTCTAGGTAAAAAATGCCTGAAATTGCTGAATTTGCTAATAAAAAGTAAATCTTTTCCATAAAAAAAAAAAGTTTCCTAATTGTCAAACATTCATGATTTCTGCCATATTCTATTTTTAATAATAAATTGTATTGGCATCTTCTTAAACAATAATATTCATAAAATCATTAGCTTCATGTGTAAGTCACAAGGGTTAAAATGAATACATAATTATTCAAAAAATGTTGACTGTGACAACCCAGAATACCACCCAGTGATGTGTGCATTACATTTTGTGTAATACTGAATTAAATATTCTCCCCAAATAGGCATTAATTTCTGAAATACAAATAATTTGGGGATGCAATTCAGCAGTACGTATTTAATTTCATTAAAAATGTCAAAGATAGAAGAAAGTACCAAGCATACTTCTCACGTTTTCTTTGAGAAAGTCAAGAGAATGAAAACCCTCTGTCCTGTACGATTCATGGCACTAAAGTATCAAGATAGTAAATACCAATATAAATGTAAAAAACTGATGGTACGTGTCATAACATCAATCATACATATTTACACAGAGAGAGACAAATATATAAACAAGGGTGTGCACTGACACCATGATCACATATTTTACTTGTAGTTCCGTTGTTTGGAATTTAGTTCCTAGTTCCTCATGGTTCACTCTTGAGCCTACGCCACTCCTTCCCAACCCCCAGGAATGCCATGTCAGTGCGCCAGGTGAAGAGAGAATCTACATACCCAGGGGAAGAAGAGTGAAATGATTGTGGGACTTTGCATTGAAACTCAGGGCTGCCAGGGAAACACAGAACAGGGCAGAATTCTGTCAGTGCCCATTTAGATCAGCCTGGCCAGAGGGAAATCGTCTACTCTGAAACCCAAGTTGCAGCTAGCCCCACCACTGGCTCACAAAAAGCAGCCTGGAGCCTTGAATAGATTCATAAGGTAGTTGGGCCACAGAGGCCGCAGACCTTGGGCAATTCCTGAAGGTGTGCCAGCTTGGAGCCAGTGGACTTGGGGTACACATCACCCAGTGAGACGACAGTGGTGGCGATGGCTAAGCCAGTGCCTGTGCCACACCTCCCCCAACTCCAGGCAGTGCAGCTCAGAGAGAATATTCTTCCACTTGGGAAAAGGAAAGAAAAGACTCCTGAAGCCTTTTTTTTTTTTGTAACTTGGATGTTAGCTCAGCATCAGTAAAGTACCAAGCAGACTTCTGAAGCCCCTAAGTCCAGGCCTTAGTTCCTGGAAGGGATTTCTGGTCCCACCCTGGACCAGAAAGTAAACATACTGCCCTGAATGGAAGGACTCAGTTCTGGGAGGATACACCAACTGCCAGGTAAGGAGCCCTTAGGCTTTGAATAATCATCAGAGGTAGCTATGCAATAGTTACCATGGGCTTTGAGTAAGACATGGGCTGGCTTCAGGTGTGACCTGGCACTGATGTACACAAGGGTGTGACCACGTCATTCCTCCCCAAACTCCAGCAGCCCAGCACAGAGAGTAAAGGAAGAGAGTAAGAGACTTTACCTAGTAAGCCTGGGAATTCTCCCATATCTAACACAAATCCCCCAAGGCGGTACTACCAGGAGTCTGTGAAAGTCACAGCATTACTGGATTTGGGGCACCCCCCAGTGCTGATATGGCTGAAGTAACAAAAGACTTAGATCACGATACTCAATTCCTTTTGAATATCTGGAAAGACTTCTCAAGAAAGACAGGTTCACATAAGCACAGACTGTGAAGATTAAAATACCTAACTCTTCAATGCCCAAGACATAGATGAACATCGACAAGTGTCAAGAACATCCAGGAAAACATGACCTCACCAAATGAACTAAATAATGTACCAGTGACCAATTCCAGAGTCATGGAGATATGTGACCTTTTAAACAAAGAATTAAATATGGCTATCATGAAGAAACTCAATGAACTTTAAGAAAACACAGAGAAGGAATTCAGAAGCCCATCAGAGAAATTTAACAAAGAGATTGAAATAATAATAAAAAAATAGAAATTCTGGAGCTTAAGAATTCAATCAACAAACTAAGAACACAGCATGGTACTGGCATAAAAACAGACACATAGACCAATGGAAGAGATTAGTAAACCCAGAAATAAACCCATACATCTATAGTGAACTTCGACAAAGTTGCTAAGAACATACATTGAGGAAAGGACAGTCTCTTCAATAAATAGTGCTAGGAAAACTGTATATCCATATGCAGAAAAATGAAACTAGATCCTTATCTCTCACCATATACAAAAATCAGATCAAAATGGATTAAAAACTTAAATTTAAGACCTGAAACTATGAAACTACTACTGAAAACACGGGGGAAATGTTCTTAGACATTGCTCTGGGCAAGGATTTCTTGAGTAATACTCTCAAAACATAGGCAACCAAAGCAAAATTGGACAAATAGGATCACATCAAGCTAAAAAGCCTCAGCATAGCAAAGGAAACAATCAACAAAGGGAAGAGACAACCTACACAATGCACAAAAGTATTTGTAAACAACCAATCTGACAAGGGATTAATAACAGGGATATATTAATACAAGGAGCTCCAACAACTCAAGACAAAAAAAATCAAATAACCTTATTAAAAAATGGGCAAAGGATATGAATAGACATTTCTCAAAAGAAGACATAAAAATGACCAACAGGTATATATGAAAAAAAAATGCTCAACATCATTAGTTATCAGAGAAATGCAAATCAAACTACCATGAGATATCATGTCACTCCAGTTAAAATGGCTTTTATTAAAAAGACAGGCAATAACAAATGCTGGTGAAGATGTGGAGACAGGGTAACGCCCACACGCTGTTGGTGGGAATGTAAATTAGTGCAACCACTTAGGAGGTTCCTCAAAAAACTGAAAATAGAACTACCATATGACGCAGCAATCCCACAGATTCAGTTGACTATATATCCAAAGGAGGGGAAATCAGTATATCAAAAAGATATCTGTACTCCCATGTTTATTGCAGCACTATTCATAATAGCCAACATTTAGTATTAACCTAAGTGTCCATCAAAGGATAAATGCACAAAGAAATTGTGGTACATATACACAAGGGAAAATTACAATATATAGTCACAAAAAAAGAATACAATCCTGCCATTTGCAACAACATGGATGGACCTGGAGAACATTATGTTAAGTGAAATAAGCCAAGCACAGAAAGACAAATATCACATGTTCTCACTCTCATGTGGGAACTAAATATCAAAAAGATATTATGGAGACGTAGAATAGAATTATGGTTACCAGAGGCTGAAAAGGGTAGCAAGGAGGTGGGGAACAAGTGGAGTTGGTTACTGGGTACAAAAATATAGTTAGATAATTACAATAGACAGAGTAAACAATATATGATAAAACAAAAAAGTAAGTATAATAAATAGTAAGTTAAGGTATACTTTAAAATAACTTAAAGAGTGGAATTGGAATCTTCCTAACATAAAGAAATGATAAATGCCTTAGATGATGGATACTCTGATTACCCTGATTGGATTAATTCACTTTGTATGCCTGTATCAAAACATCACATGTACCCTATAAAGATATACAACGATTATGTATTCATAATAATAAAAAATAAAATAATTAAATAAATAAATGACCACCCTCCCCACACCAAAAGAATCTGATGGTTCTATGTGCCCATATTTGCTAAGTCACTTGGCAATATAACATTAGATTTCAAAAAGCAAGATCCAAAATTGATAGTCTATAGAATGTAAACATAATTAGGAAGAGAAAAAATATTAATGAGAAATATTATGAAATACATATGTTAAATGAAAAGACATAATATTTACCTAATACAAGATCCCAAAATGATAGACTCCTTTCCCTTCCTGGTTAATTCACTCCTAAAGTCATCAAGTAGAACAGAGCATGCGTGGAGTGTCAAAGCTCAAATAGTATGAGGAGGATATCGATACAGAAGAGCAGTTGGGTCAGAGCCCAGGGAGAGGGAGTAGGGTGTCCAAATGGGGGGTGGAGGCAACAGCCAGCCCCATGAGAGTTACAGACTCCAAACAGAGTGAAGGGAACAAAAGGGCTGTCTGATACTGGGTGTTGAAGCTGCAACAAGTGAGGAAGGAGCTCACATATGAGGAACCTCAACAAGGGGTGTCACAAGCCTAAGAGGACTGAAGACAGTGAAGGAAGTAGCCCCGGTATGGGAGGCCAGAGCCTGAGGAGGATGAGGGGGGCATCCATTGACAAGGACAGCATGGCACAGAGTACTGGAGAGCAAGGAGGATAAGGAAGCCATGCACACTGGGGGACATTCAGCATCCTTTATTAGAGCTCTGGTGGAATGAGGAGGGCTTCTGCCCACAAGGGTAACCAGACATAATAAAGAAACAGATATAAGATCACATCATCAGCAAAGAGTGGTAGTTGACCTCTTCTTTCCCCTTTTGGATACTCTTAAAATTCTCTTGCCTGATTGCTCTGGCTAAGATTTCTAGCATTATGTTGAATAGAAAAGTGGTGACAATGGGCCTCAAAGATCTAAGAGACTCCTGGAATTAATAAATAAATTCAGCCAAAGTCTCAGGCTACAAAATCAATGTACACAACTCAGT